GAAAATACGGTGACATAAGCTTTTTTAACGAAATTCAGTTTTTGATTAAATAAATAGAGATATTGTCAGGTATCAATATTCTTAATTCAATCTAATGATCCATTTCGATCGCGTACGCGGATCATCCTCAGAGCTTAAAGAAACAATACAAATAACAATGTGAAATTAACAGGTTGGTTATGTATCACAGAATGCGTTAAGGAAAACTGGGATCGGTACAATACCTTTTTTTCAGCTTTCTGGGCCGAAAAACAAAGTTTTGCGAAGGTTTTGAGCGTGGTTTCTTGTTTAAGAGCAAGCCGTCGGCAACGGAGGGGGCGGGAAGAGGGGTGGGGTGCGGGTGAAGGGTCGTAAAATGTGGGGGTGCTGTGGATGCTTTGGAGAGACGGTCCGGGGCGAAGCGAAGGTAGGGGGTGGGGGAGGGCTTGGGGTGGGTTAGGGGTGTACACTGTGCTAATTTTAGAGAGGTGAAGAGAGTTCAGGAAGTCTGTTGGTTAAGACATGTCAATGTTCTGTTTTTGAGGGTGTTGTGTATGTGTAAGGCTTTCTACATTTTATTCTGTCTTCAGTACGCTGTTCTCGATTTCTAGAATTCGGAAATCTATGTGTTGAGTAGCAACTTCATTCAAAGAATACGTGGGAAATTGGAATTTGCAAATTTTAGATTTCGCGAAATTACTTATAATTTCAAAAAAAATGATGTAACGTATTCTAAAGATATAATTTTAGAAGAACATAATTCATTACGTAAAAAATCTTATTTCAATCATCCATCATAATACGTTATCAGTGTTTTCAATGGTTATTGGTTGCCCAGTTTTTTTCATTGTAAAAAGTTCAATGGAATATGGGGAAATGCGCCATTTTATATGGGTACTTTTGGTTTTTCTACGAGAAATAATTTAAAGGTTTCGAAACATGGGGAGACAAATGAATGGGAAATGGGAAAAATGGAAGAATGGGATTGGGATCGTAGAAACGTGAACTAGAAATCTTAGAAACGCTCGCCCCAGATATATTAGGTGATAAAGGTCTCAACTTCATAAAGAATTAGAACATTTCTAGGAATGGTTGGACATTAGGGAAACGGAAATTAGGGAGGGGAAGAACAGCACGGGTTAGTAATGAGCGGAGCTTAGACTGTAAAGGAAATAAATAAGTTAATAAGCGAACAACTGAATACAGTTAATCAGTAAATTTAGGTTAGTAAAACTGCTAAGCAAAACAATCCATCAGCGTCGCTAGTCAGCGTTTAATAATAGTAAGATTAAAAATTTAAAAAAATGAACAACGTGTCAATAATTAAATACAGGAACATAGGGGGGCCAAAGAGGAGGGAGGGTTTGCCAAATGTTAAGTGCAGAGGCGTTGGTCGCGGACAATGCTGCTGTGGAGCTGTTTGATTTCAGCGTGCTGAGGAGGCAAAGACTGCGTGACGTCCGCACCAGAAATAAATAAATATGCTTAGATAAATGTTGTGGGTTGATTAGCGATGTACTCAGCTTCTGTCTCTCGGCAGGTTTTTTTCCCCTTTTCAGGGGTTTTTTTTTCCCCCAGCTCTATCTTATTGTCTCTCTTGCGCGGCTTTGGGTGCGATGGAGAGACCTTGGGGTGAATATCCAGAATTCGAAAGGTTAGAGCACACGTGTCAGGGATGGTGGGTATTGTAATGCCGTTAAAGCCTTTCCGGCCAAGCCAGAATATCGATGTTATTTTAATTTAATAAGCGTAATAATTAATCTTTTAAATAATGCAAAATTACGCGAAAAGTACTAAAATTTTTGAAAAGTTGTACATTACTTTATTGCAAAATCTATCTTTAAGGAACAGATTTCATTAAGGAAAAAATTTCTATCTTCATTGTTGTAGGAAGGAAGAAGCCAAAAAATATTGAATTTTTGCGATTTTCGAAATATCAGTGAAAACGAAAATGAGACCTGCACCATTCTCTTAAACGTCCTTCACATTATCCAAAAACAAAATTTAATCAAAAACGATGCAGCCTTTTTTTAATTTGGAAAATGTCCCAGGGGCTACATGTAAAGTAGACCCCAAAATTAATATATTGTTTTCAAATTCAAGGGGCCGCGACATCCTTCAGATCGATTGGAGAATATCAATTTTGGAGAAAATCGGTTCAACGGTTTAGTCACTAGCGTTATTCACAGGCGGACACACAGACGTTTAGCCGTCATTCAAATTTTCGGTATCAATATACGGTACCATAAAACGTGGATTCTGGCTACAACTTGTGTTAGAGGATCTTTGTTTCTAAATTGGGTATCTAGATTTATCCAATTTTTCGTTGCCAGGGCTCCGTAATAAGAGTTTTTCAGCCGAAGATTCGCCGTTTTTTCGCGCTGCGTTACATAACCTTCCCTCTACTCCGTAGCGAGAAAGTAAAACTATGGCAGGTCATAAATATCCGGGCCCTAACTATTACGATTGGCCCTTCTGAATGCCGTCTTACTTGTATGATTCCGGTCGGGGCCCCTTGGTGTGTGAGTAATACCGCACCAGCGTATAGTTCACGCCGTCCTTCACAACTGCAACGGTCCTGTTCTTCATCCAAAATTCAAACTCTCGCTCCAACCACTCTACGTTCTCCTGAAGGAACGCCAAGTCCCTTGTCACACGGATGTAATCGTGCACCATCGAAGTCAGCAAGGGCGGGTTCGACCGTCTCTGATAATAGACTCGTGTGCCGTTAGGAATAATGCCGTACGTCCGCAGGATGTAGAAAAAGTTTTCCAAAATCCCTCGGACAGTTTCATTCATCGCACACAACAGCAGCCCACGAACGATCCAGTGCGTGTCCCAGTAGTACATCTCCTTGAAGCGGCCTCCTGGCACGATGAAAGCGTTGGGAAGGTACAGAAGGGACGTTCTGTCTCCTTGCAGCTTCACGCTCTCGGGGACTCTTCGAGCCAAAGATTTCCATCTGGCATTCAGCCAGAACGACCAGTTTCGAAGATGGGGATCGGAAATTCTGGTGAGGAGAGGGGGTGCCTCCACCCAGTCCGGCAACTCCACTCCTTCCAATTCCTCTCCAAGTTCAAAATGATCGTCGACGAAGCTTTGAAGTTCGGAAGACGTCGGATTATTCTCCAACCTTGCCATCAGGGTCTCAAAGTTTCTCAGTGTTTCATTGACAGATATTTTCAATTTCATGTCTACAAATGTCTTCGAGTCTTCCCTTAAACTTGATATTTGTATCTCATGGAGGAGGCTGCCATGGCAGTAAATTGGGCTGTAAATTGAGAGAAGAAAAGTTACTCAAGTATACACACGATGTTTTTAAAAAAATACTCAATTATTTTTCAAATAAAATCTACCAGCTTCTGCATGCTATTGAATCTGTTTTCCAAGCACAAAATTATTAGTTTTAAAAAGTATTAAATTACAATATATAT